GCGTAGAAAATGTAATAAAAATAGGAAAAAATATATAGAAAACTGTGACACTGAGCTGGGTGCATGATACTGTGCTTCTGCCCATCGAATTGCATACAGCGGGCAATGAGTTTCTCCAGCCATTTGCCTATGCAATTAAGCAGGCATATGGGTCGGTAAGACTTGGCTGTTGAGTAGTCCTCCTTCTTTGGTTTCGGGAGGACTACGGTCACTGACTCCTTAAACGCTTCAGGGCATACCCCATAATCGAGGCATGCATTGAATATTCCAGTGAACAGCCACTTTATGTGCAGTCCACACTCAGTCATGAACCCACTCCGCTTGTGCATAACTGTCCTCTCAAGCAGCCATTTAATCCACAGCCAGTTGAGGTGATCCGGCCCTGGAGTTTATGTATTACTCATCGTAGCCAAAGCCTCCTCAAGCTCCAGCTTGCTGAACGAGACAAAATCCCGTTCAGGCCACTGGGACATCTGTTCAACCACCCGCATGTCGACCGGTTTAGGGTTGGCTGGGGTGAACTGTTCCTGGAAGGCCCAACTTACTCGGTCAGGATCGTCTGCAGCTGAGCCGTCCTTCATTTTAAGTTGGACATTTGCCGATTGTCTCCTGGGCTTAGTCCATGCGACAAAGTCCGATATAAGTTTGGGGTTTGATCGCTTCATACAGGCGTCGAAGAACTCCCGTTTGGTGGCCTTGACCGCCTTGCTCAAGTCCTTACGTGAGTCCTTGAGATCTTGCTGCAGCCTGCCCCATTCTGCCCGTAGTGCAGTTGAGGCGGGGTGAAGGTGCCCTTGGAGTCCGGCAGAAGATCTATATTCCCACCTGGCCTCGTCTGCATCTGCCATGCGGCGTCGCACTCGATCCGCTGCACGCTTACATCTGCCATTCCACCAGGTCTTAGACCTAGCGCAAGGGCAGGGGACTTCTGCATATTCCGACCAGAGGCCGTTCAGTGCATCCTCGATTGTGGCCACCGTGTTAAGCACTTCCTCCGTGGTGGCAAACACAGTAGGGAACTGTAAAAGCCTGAGGGTGACCGCATCAATATATTTCTGGGTCGTCGCACCTGTGCGAGGTAATCTCGCCGCCCCTGGAGGGGCAGGATCGACTGCCAGGTCCCATGACAGGACGCAGTGGTCGGAATAGTGCCTGCCTACGGCATCAACCTCCAGGGAGTGAGGCCCTGTGGCAAGTTCTGGGTCCACCCACAGGCCACCTGGAATCGCCATCCTGTCATGGAGCCGCTGTCATGTGGTTTGAATTTTCATTATCATCGTATGAATTACGAGATGCAAGAGCTGCTTGCACACCATCTGGGGGTGTTGAAGAGCGCTATCCGTGCCCTCGAGTCGTACTACAAAAGTAACCAGTTAGTATTTGGTTCTACCTCCCGTCTCCTGGGCACGCCTGAACGTGTCTTCCCGTATCTGACGTCCTTCCAGCCCTTCGATGACAGTCCTGTAACTGGCGATAGCCTCTCAGGCGAGGCGGCACATACTCACATCAGCACAACGATGGGGAAGACGGCAAACTGATATTCTTTGGGGAATGTGCAAGCCGCTAGGTATGCATCAAGTTCACGAAGCGATATTGTATGGAGGCGCACAGAGAATGTGCGAAGATGGGGTTTGCGCCGAGGCTGTGGGGCTTCCAAGACCTCCCTGATAATTGGAAGATGGTGGTGATGGATGCGGTCGACGGCGACAGCTACAAGCTAGTCTTCGATCTTGAGCTGAGACTGGCGGATCTGCATGCAGCGATTTGGGAAAAGCTGAAGGAGTTCCATGGTAGGGGCTTTGTGCACGGAGACATTCGTGATGCCAACCTCATGGCGCGGACGAGCCCTGTGGCTGGTGAGAGCGCGTTTATGCTGCTTGACTTTGACTGGGCTGGGCGGGCTGGGGAAGCACGGCATCCAAAGAATCTGTACAAGGGGTGGAGCCTTTGGCGACCGTCGAGAGTTGGAGGCGGTGGGCTCATCCTGGCAGATGATGACCTGGAAATGTTGGATGGGTATTTTCCGGCAAGCGTATACAATGTGGGCTCGTAATTGACTCAAAGTGACTAACAACACACCAGAGTGGGCAACAAATATATGTTGTGTGATCATGAGTACGTTCTATCGTGAGTTGAGTATGTTGACTACGATGTCCTAGTTGGGGCACGGCCATTTCACTCTCGGTGAGCGAGGTGGTTCGTTTCTTCGAGCATCCTACTTTCATTAGGCCAGGACAAGGCCGGAGGCCATCGTCCCTACTCCGGTGTTACGTGTGGTGTCTTAAACCGCTGCCACTATCATCCGGTTTGAGCTTCCCAGTTTTCAAGATGCCGTGTACACCGGGTTTAGAGAGATAGCAGATTTTATAAACAGGCCATCTGTATAAAATAGCTGCGAACGCAGGTCGCTTCTGCTTGGTAGAATGTGATCAATATATTGCCCGTACTTTTTATTGGACTGCATACGTTTCACCCGCAAGTGAGATGTTCAGCATGAGAAAGCTATACCAGATGTTGCCTTAACCTTTTTGTCGATTGCTTCTATTATAACACCAAACCATAGTGACGAACGATCCATCATTAGAAGACCGTTGACCATCTACGTAACCTTGATTCATGACTCACACCACATCTGCGCAAAGTTGCGTGTGCATCATGATGTACAAGCACCACTTCATTATCTAAACAAGATACATCCAGGTTGGTATAACTAACATACAGCAATATGCGTACAGACGCCTAGCAAGATGGAAAGCGAGATGGAGCAATAAGGATTTTGGAGACCAGTCCCAGAAATCAATGCCTATACACGCACGCACGCAGCCTCTCAACGATCAATGCGCCCCGCGGCTCCCCACAGTGTGAATGCGAACGGTCCCATCATCCGACGCGGACACGATCCGCGAGCCGTCGCGAGACAGCCGCAACCGCGTCACACTGTCTGTGTGTCCATCGAAGCAGCCCACCTGCTTGCATGTCGCCGTGTCCCAGACACATACCATGTTGTCCTTCGTGCCGGCCGCAGCGAACCGGCCGTCGGGGGAGAACGTCGGCGCATTCACAACCTCATCTGCACGGCTGATCGCGTCGACGGACTCCCCGTCGTGCGAGCCCCATATCTTCACCGCGCCGTCGCTCCCGACGGACATGACGCGCCGCCCGTCGGCAGAGAACACCGACTCCCACACGGACCCGCCTTCGTGGGCGCGGATAGTCAGGTAGTTAACCCCCGTACGGCCGTTCCAGATCTTGATCGACTCGTCGTCCGACGACGTGACGACGCGCTCGCCGTCGGGAGAGAATGCGATGGCGTAGACGACCGCCTCGTGCTCGTCCAGGACCGCGAGGACGTCCAGGGTCCGTGCGTCGAAGATCCTCGCACAGCAGTCGGCGCTGGCAGATGCGATGCGCGTGCCATCAGGGGAGAATGCCACGGACATGACCATGGCGTCGTGATTTACAGATGTCGCGAGCAGCTCTGCAGACGCCCAGTCCCACAGCCGCACGGTGAAGTCGACAGACGCGGAGGCGAGCCGCCGGCCGTCGGGCGAGAATGCGAGGGCGCAGACGAAGCCGTCGTGGCCCTTGAGACGAGACACCTCGTCTCCGCTGACTGCATTCCAGACGACGATGTGGCTGTCGCGAGAGCCAGACACCAGCACCGCACCGTCTGGTGAGAATACCAGCGAACAGATCGAGTCCTCGTGTCCAAGCAGCTGGCGCTCCTGGTGGCGGCTCGTGGCGTTCCAGACCAAGACTACCCCGTCCTCGAACCCGGCGGCAACGCGGGTCAGGCACGGAGAGAACGTAAGGGCACATACACCGCCATGTGCTTCGGTCGACCTCAGCTGGAGAAGCGATGAGTCGCCCTCGTCCAGAAACGCCTTGTACTCCACCTCCGCAGCACGAGCAGAATTTTGGGCTACAGTTTGCGAGGCATCAGCATCAACGCCGCGCCCATCGTGGTTGTCGCTGCTGCCGGGGTCGTTTTGCGCGGGATTGGTCTGCGAGGCGGTATCGTCGAGACCGCCGGGGCCCTCAAGGCTAGCATGGTTCGCTGAGTGCCGCTGGTCGCCCAGCGATGGTAGATCGCGCACAGCGCCCTCGTCCAAGGGGGCTGATCCATCCTCTACGGAATCCATCTAGTAGCTGGGGGCTGGGTCGATGGGCACGTACTCACCTAGTTCTCCGCTGTACCTGTCGCCGTACTCGTTGAGCATGTCCATGGAGACGTGCTGACCGCGGATGGATCACAGGTAGACGGTGGACTGGAAATACAGGACAATCTGCTCTTATAGTCTGGTGACAGAGTTCCTGAGAGATGCTGCGGGGAGTGACTAGTTATATACTTGCCATCACTGGTAGTGTGGTCCCGCGCCTCGTGTAGTGACAGGGTCACGGTTGGCAGGTACAGCCGCTGGCAACACGCACAGGTATCGTTAACCCCGATTCTTCTCCGCAGAGCCATATTGGCAAACTGATTGATGCCCTCCATGTACGGGCACGCTCGAATCGATAACGGACAGCGTTGGCCCATGGATGCGGACCTGTGAGTCTCGGAGCCTTGAATGTAGTACACACCTGTCCGCAGTGGTGTACGCTGCTGTGCTGTCACACACAAGCTGGCTCGGGCGTTGCAGTAGTGGAAGCAGGGAACAACATGTGGGTTCATATGGCGCGGATATGATACTTAGATATCCTCAGGGTGCTCGTCCAGATAAAGCACAAAAAGCTCCACACCAGTATAGCTTTCATCTACGTACTCGGATTGATACGGACAACGGTATGCACGCTAAGACAATGTCGGTTGCCATAGACAAAGAAGGGTACTAAACACAGCAAACTTGCATTGGAACAAGAGAAAAGAGAATGCATAGGCACGTATATCCGACCGCTAGTAAATATTTACAGCGATTCGATCTGAACACTAGGAAGGAGAAATATCAGTGCAGAAACCACGGAGACCGCCCATATCTACTTACCACAACATCGCTCGTTCGGCCAAACGCGGAAAGCGGAGCGATACTCGCTCTTGCCAACATCGCCGGGTTTCCTCGTCGACGCCGTTGCCAAGGCTGGACGGCACCTTGCACAGAATTGTGAACGTCGCGAGATTCGAAAACTGGGATCCACACATGAGCTGGTCAACCCGTGAGCAGAGAACTGGATCAAGAACGGGCGAATGCAATGCCACATCCAAACCGTCCGCCACGGCCCCCATCGTCCAATTCGTGAGTAATATAGAAACTCGAGAGAGGGTCTTCGTGGAGATCGTTGATAAGACCGCATACAACCAGCCATACTCCAAAGTATCAGCATTGTTCAGGAAGAGGTTGAGTGAGAGAGATTCGAGACTGGTGTTGTTGCGGAGACTGAGTGCGGTCTCTGAACAGATTTGATTCTCAACACAAACACGAATAAAAACAAAGCGGGGAGGTTGGATGTGACGCACCGAGCACCTCTGCGTCGCTTTGGACATAGAAGCCAAACGAGACATCTAGAGAGGAAAGCGATGCACCAGAACACTCTAGCATCCGCTGCAGATCGCCAAAAGACGGCCAAGAGAGAATAACATGTCTGAGGTTCGTAGCCAATGTACTCTCCGCAAAGAAAGTCATAACATCACCTCCATCTCCGTAGACTGCAAGGTGCGAAATCGACTTCCGCCGGATGTGTAACTGATTCGGCACATAGTGACGACTAGCAAAGTGGACCTTAGTACATTCCAGGTGAGAGAGGTTCGGGAGGGAGCACGCGAGGCGTCCAAAGACCAGCGCAGACGGAAATTCCATATGTCCGAGTGTGAGGTACGTGATGGAGGTGAACGCTGCGAGAGGAAGGAAAACGTTTGTCGCATCCGCATGCAGTGACTCTGCAGGCCATGCCCCGTGAACTTCTAGCTTTTGCACCTTCGGGAGCTTCTGCGCCACCATGGTCGCAAAAAGACCCAGGAGGCGGGCTCGATGGAGCACCACAGTGCGTACAACCCCACCGACGAACTCCTTTTGCCGTATGATCTTCGCGAGCTTGGCAACCTGTTTCTTCTTACCAAGAGTGATAGCGTCAAACGCTCGATACAGGCGGCATCTCGATGCAGCCCACGTCCGGCAAACCAGCATGCACGACAACCACATCTTCACGACTGCCTTGTAATGCAGCTCGCGTGTGTCGAGGGCCAATGCGTCGAACACCTGCTCCCATATCTCGATCGGGAGCTCGGGAGAATCGTAGCCAGGCGCTTGCGCCGCAGACACGTCGTCGCCAACATGTGTGGAGTGTTGAGGCTCGTCATCTACACATTATGCAGCGGATTCGAGACAAGAATAATCACACAACGTACGGGATTCGATTTGGGAAACTAACGCAGCAAGCTCCAGTCCCGCCGACCCCTCGATTGGTCCACACCCAGCTGTCCTCGTGGGGATTGTGTTCTCCATGATATGGCGAGGTAGGGCAAATGTCTGCAGGTCGTCTATCTGGTCGCGCGATGAGTCTTTAAATATCGGAAGGCGAGCCTGTCAGCAGACGCGAGGCTGCAGATTGTGAACCCATGTGGCCTTGACGAGCATTCCGCCAAAAACAAACATTCCGGCGACAATTCGAACACTGTGCTCTTGGCGCCCATGAACGTGGGCTGTGCGGGGCAGTCACCGTGTGCGGTGCGTGCTGTAGAGCGCCTTCAGCATCAGATCACAGATGTTCACATATTGAACTTACTTGGACGGCAAGTAGGCGACTTGGTAGTATTCCAATTACATGGATGCGGTAATCATAAGGGGAGTGAAGGGGTCCCTGAAGAAGAAGTCGCGATTCTGAAGCTATGGCTCGGAGCAGAGCCTCTCGACAATAGTATAGGAGCGAGAAGCGACTCTCGAGAACTCGGGCTGTGTGTTGTGCGAGGCTGTGGAGTGCAGACGTCGTGTGCGGCGGCGCTTGTTCTGCGCTCAGCCTGTACTCGAGTAGCGCCGCATACCAGTAATCTCAAAGTCAATATGCTCAAACCCCATGGTGGTGTCTCGGCTGATGGCGGCTCGATACGTAGGCTCTAGGTGTCGGGTTCATTGAGGATGGCGGCGGCAATAATGCTGCACAGTTTTATGTCCGCCCATTCAAGATACCTGTAGCACGGGCGATTTCGTTGTTTGGCATATGACTTGACATTGTCAAAACCAGCTCCCGCCGCATCTTTGCATAACCCCGTGCCTTCTCGCCATGTCGCACACACACAAAATATGGATCGTACGCGTTGATGTCGACTCCGCGCCACCGACAGTTTTTCAGTCCGAAAAAGTGGTATTCGAGAACATCCAGGACGTCGATGCGGTGGACTTCAGAAGAGCCGTCGGCGCAATGCAGATGCTCCAAGTCTCTGCGAAGACGATCAGCCTTTGGAAGGTCAGTACCGCCGGCTGCTGCTCCTATGTGGTGCTGATGCTCGCGTGAACTGTAGCTGAACGACTGTCTGCCGATAAAAGGCGTCAGACAGGTTTTGCGAACGTCTTTGGAAGCAAATAATTATAACCTCGCGAGCATCGCCATGGAGGTGAATTACTAGCCTATATGGGACCATCTTCCGAAAATACAGGGTCTCCTCGATACTACCAAATGTCCTTTCATTTATAGCATCATCCCCACTGAAGGTACGCCGCCCCATGTGGTATTCCGTTTCTCATTGACGTTCTTTCGCTCTCCTGTTACCTCCCAGCTAATACTGGTGCGCGTGCGAAGCGAAGACGTATAGAAGACGAGCATGACAACAGTACGTTTCCTACCTATTCCGTTTATGTGTTTTATTTTCCCGGCGCCAGAGCTGCGAAACAATGTGCGAGAATACAGAGAGGATTTCCTCGACGATCGAAAAGAAGTAGCGCCATCCAGTGCAGGGAAGGTGCACGAGTTTCGGAGGCTACAAGACAGAGACGAACGAAGCTTCTACTGCAATCGTCCTCCGCCGGCCACGGACCCGATCCCACTGAGCCTCCTGCACCCCGTTTTTGCCCAGTTTGCTGACGACTGCAGATACTACGAGACGACAGACAAAGACCACCTGCTGGCGCAAGCGCTGTCCGCCGCGATGTCTGAATTCTACAACGACAAGGAGGCACGAATGGGGAGGGTCCAAGACATCTTTCACAAAGTCGACATACTCCTCACCGGCGCCGAAATAGCCGGGACGGAGTATGTGACAGATAGTGACCTCGGGATTCGTCGTCCGGCGCAGAGCCGTATCTGCAGGCATGCTCGTTCTACTATGAATCGACAAGACCGCAGGCGCAGGAGCTGGCGCCGAATCCTCTCCCGTGCATCCTCATCCTGATATACGGTGCTCTGCCGCTGCGGCCTCCATCCCCCAGCACCATCCTGCCGACGCCGCCCACAGGACCGCACATGCACCTTGCTGGGGCCGCGTGGAACCGCCGTCCGGCCACGGAGCCGCTGTCGTGCGGGCTGAACATGCATGATCATAACAAGAACTACGAGATGCGGGAACTGCTCGCGCGCCATCTGGGGGCGCTGAAGAGCGCCGTGCGTGCCCTCGAGTCGTACTGCAGCAGCCACCGGCCAATAATTGCTTCTACTGCCTCCCGTCTCCTGGACGCGCCTGAGCGCGTCTTCCCGTATCCGACGTCCTTCCAGCCCTTCGATGACGGGCCTATCGCTGGCGGCGGCCTCTCGGGCGAGGCGGCATTCACGTACTCGCATCAGCACAATGGCGGGGAGGATGGCAAGCTGGTATTCTTCGCGGAATGCGCAAGCCGCCGGGTATGCATCACGTTCACGAAGCGATATTGCATGGAGGCGCACAGAGAATGTGCGAGGATGGGGTTTGCGCCGCGGCTGTGGGGCTTCAACGATCTCCCCGATAATTGGAAGATGGTGGTGATGGATGCGGTCGACGGCGACAGCTACAAGCTGGTCTTCGACCTTTGGCCTCGACCGGCGGATCTGGGTGCGACGATTCGGGAAAAGCTGAAGGAGTTCCATGGTAGGGGCTTTGTACACAGAGATATTCGTGATGCCAACCCCATGGCGCGGACGAGCCCTGTGGCTGGTGAGAGCGCGTTTATGTTGCTCGACTTTGACTGGGCGGGACGGGCGGGGGAGGCACGGTATCCGAAGAATTTGTACAAGGGGCGGAGCCTTTGGCGACCATCAAGAGTTGGAGGCGGTGGGCTCATCCTGGCCGACGATGACCTGGAAATGCTGGACTGTTTTTTCCGGCAAGGTCTACACGCTGTAGGCTCGTAATGGAGACTACGTAGCTAACAACGCACTCGACGAGTGAGCAATGAATATATGTTGTGTGATCAAGAGGGCATTGTATCGTGAACCGAATATGATAATGACGATGTGCTTGGTTTGCGCGGCCGGTTTACTCGGTGAGAGAAATGGTTCGTGTCTTCGGACATCCCACTCTCGTTAGGCTAGCATAAGCACAAGGCCGGAGGCCATCGTCCTCACCGGTGCTGCGCGCGGTGTCTTACGCTGCCAATACCATTAGGTTCAAGCTTCCCGGCGTCAAAGATGCCGTTTGGACCAGGTTGAGAGGGGCGGCGGATTTTATAAATACGCTGTCTGTGTGGTGTAGCCATATGTGAACGCAGACCGCCTGTGCTTCGTAGAATGCAACCAAAGTTGCCCGTACTTTTTATCGGATTGGGTGCTTTTCACTCGCAGGTGAGATGCTCGGCATGGGAATGCTACACCAGATGCTGCACCAGACCACATCGACGAACGATACAAAGTTGCATGTGCATCATTAAAGTGGACTGACCGTGTTCTATACTTGTGCATCAACGGAGAACAACTTGGAAGCTTGTGAAATGGTTCAAGCTGCGCCCGACGCACTCCGGTTCCTTCGAGGGGCGAACACGGCGCGGTCAGAGGCCGAGTGCGCAAGTGAGCTTCCGGGGGGGATTCGACGTGGGGATTGCCTGGACAGCAGAGGCCAAGCAGCGGCGGGCGCAGAAGAGGATGCGCTGATGGCGTTATGTGACAGAAAGGCGATAAGGCGCGTACGTACGCGCTACGTACACATCAATCTTGCCTGGGTCGCAAGCGAGCGCAGGGCGGCGATAGGACGTGCTCGCGATCGAGCGGGCGCCGGGTTGTGTGGATGCTGCTGGCGCTGTCAGTGCTGCCCGAGGCTCCTGCGCTAGGTCAGGGTCGTGCAAAGGCCCAGACTGCAGAGCACTGGCACGCGACGGCCGAGGTGGAGTTGGCAGGATCCGGGGTGGGGGGACAGGCCCCTTACTTGGAGGTGAGATTGGGGGCAGGAGGAGGCCCGAATAAACAGTGCGAGCGCGCCTCGAATTCGGGGCCGGGCGAGGGCTGAGGGCGATGCCGATAGAGTACCACACCCACAGCACCCAGGCAGTCTGCGAGGATGGAAGAAGGGGCTGCGGGAGGTAAGGTTCGGCGGAATATGAGTTATATAGGGGGGGGACCACTGAGATGGGTGATCCGAGCTGAGCAGATCCGGTTCAATCTCCCACTTGGGTCGCGCGCCTCCTCCTTCGTGTCGTACGCCATCGGTCTCTCTCTTTCCATGCTGTCCTACTAGTACCATCCACATAATCTACCCCCTCCCCCCTTGCTCGCCTCATCCCCTTCCGCCGGTCACCGTGCTCTGCTGGCGAATCGCCTACCCGACGCGACATACGCCCGCCCAGTACGATTCGCGAGGCCAGTGTATCGCATCTGATCATGCGCCCCAGCCCCCGCCGGCCCTCGCCCCCAAACTCGCTACGGTCCCTCCGTCCCCCGCCATGGATTCCTGCCTCAGACCGTCCGCTCCCCGTCATTGACCGCGAGTTTTCGCGCGTACGTGCATCCCCCGTATACCCCCGGCTGCTCCAGCGGCCCTTTGATGACCCACACGAGTACGTCGTCCTCCCCCACACAGCGGCCGCGCTGACCGTCTCACCGTCCGCAGGGTTTTATGCCGCGCATTCAACGTCGCAAAAATGACATGCGCCTTGGACCCTGACGCCCCCATCCCGCACACAGTAAATATGCCCGTCCTCCGCGATGCCCATATGCCCACCCACGCACTCGTCGTCCTCGACTCTGCCCACCCAGCGGGGTCCAGAGCACCCTCCCCACGTCCCCCGCCGTCTCCCACGCCACACTCGC